CTACACTACACACACATACACTCATCATTCTACCTTTTTTTTTCTATTACCACTCATAAAGACAAAAAAAGGTGAAATTATGCTGACACTCTCCTCTTTCTAAATAAATCTTCAATTTGTATATAATTAAAAAAACGAAGAAATACGGACATTCTTGTCTGACACTTTTTCCTCAGAGAATATTTTTTCATACTTTATCTGAGACTTTTTTTTTTATGGCGTTTTCTTCTTGATTCTAGACCTTCTTGTTGTTCCTTGCCTCTCAAGCAACACACTCACCTGCTCGACCTTATTACAAGCAAAAAAATTGAATCTTCTTTAAACTTTGGTTTCTTCAGCTGGTTTAAGAAAGCTTAACTGAAAAAGAAAAGAGATATTATATACCTGTATGATTTGTTCTGTTCATGCCACCATATTCATAGAGTGGCCTCAAACTGAAACTCAAACGCAAACACAAAACTCAAACTCAAAAACTCATGTCTTCATGATTTTCTCTGACGTGAATAAGATCTATATTCTTGAGATCACGCAGATGTTGCAGAATCTCATGGAGGAGATGTACACCTTTGTCCCCTTTTCTCAATGAACCAACACAATGCCTCAAGAACTCTCTATCTGCCTCTAGAGCTTCTAGTCTCTCGTATAGTTCATCCACTTCTTCTTCCACAGTCACATTCTCACCTCTCTCCGACTCATCAACCCCGTTTTCGTAGTGGTTTCCATTTTCCATCTCTCCATCGACCGCGTCAAACAATGGAAGTAGTCTCTTTGACTTGATGATGACTCTGTGCTTCCCATTTGCCTCCTTGCCATGAAAATGCCCGTTTCCATTATTAATGCTACCATTACTCTCAAACGTTTTAACTTCCTCTTCCTCGTCCTCTTCATCATTCAGAGCCGTGAGTTTCTCCTCAAGAAACTTCAACCTCCCAAGAATCGAAAGCCTCTCACCTTCATAATCATCTAAACACTCATCAAGACGAACCACAACATTAACCGGAGTGTTCTCCATCTCATTCTCTGAAACTCCCTCAACGTTCTTGTGCAGTAACTCACCGTTGTTCTCATCTGAATCACCATTATTATTATGTCTATACGTTGAATCAACAGAGGAATCTCTCATTCTCCTCCTCAACATCCCCATTTTCTCTTTAGCTTCGTACTCCTCCAATCTCTTTCTATACACTTCAAGCTCCTTCTCAAGCTCTGCGTTCTCCTTCTCTCGTTTCACCATAAGCTCATTCAACAGCTGCAAGGCTTCTTGATCGAACTCAGATTGCTCTTCCATCATTCTCTGATACTGCAAAGCCTCCATCTGCATCGCCGCTTTCTCCTCATGCAACCTATTGATCATCGCCATTGTTTCATTGGCAGCAGTCGCAGACGCGCTTCTCTCTTCTTCCAGCTCCTCGTATAACGCGTTAAGCGCCTTCCTCTCTTCTTCTAACTCCGATTTCAGCTTGTCCACGGTGAGTACTCCTTCGTGGCATTCAATATTGTCAAGAGACTCTGCTTCGGATCCTCTCCGGTCTAAGTGAAACATTGCGTTATGCGAGGTTTCCATCGAGCCTGAAGTTTCAAGAAGCCGCTCTTGGTCGGAGTTTAAGACAGGTCTCTTTGTTTCAATATCAACTGTTCTGAACTCCAACGTATCATTCTCTGTTGAAGAAGTTACGCATACAATGTTGAAAAATGTTTAATTACAAAATCTAGAACAGAGAAGAAAAAAAAACCATTTTTGATAAAGTTTGCTACTTTATTTCTGTGGTTGAAGTAAATTACCATGATTGTTGTCGTCGTCATCGTCCTCGTCAAGAATGAGTTGGTGGGATTGGATATCTCCGATTTGCTCGTGATCAGGAATCTCTGTGCCTATAGAAACTTCTGCGTCTGTTTCTTCATCGTTCTGCATTTTCAGTGTATCATCATCTATCGAAGAGCCTGCGATATTAGTAATAAAAAGCCATCAAAACTCGAGAGTAATTAGGAGAAAAAAAAAAAAGTAGAAAAGTTGTCGACTTTTTTCAAATCAAAAGCACCTAGATTCGTCTCAGCATCGTCAGGTTTTGATTCCTCCGGCGAGGCAAACTCGGAGATTTCACCGGAGAATAATAATCCACCGTCCTCCGCCGCGAAATCAGGTTCGGCGCCGAAATCAAGAATAAAATCTCCGTTAATATCGGAAATCTCTCGAACTTCCTCGCTCGGTTTGTAGAATTCGACGGGAATCAAATGGCAGTCTTCGTCGTCAATGTAGAACTCGAGATTTTTCGGCGGAGCAGTTTCTTCGGCGGCCTCCATAGCCAGATCCACTTTGTGTTCTTCCTCCTTTTCCGTTGAAGTTTCTTTGTTACAGTCGAAACTCGATACATAGCACGAGAATTCATCACCTTTCTCATCATCATCATCTTCATTATCCGTAGAATCGCTGTTAATTTCCTCCTTCTCTGCTTCTTCTTCTTTCCTCTGTTCATCAAGCTTCTCCTCTGTTTCTTCTTCTTTTCTTGTGTAGCTTCGTTCCTGAGAATCGATCAAATGTACGGATCCTATGGTTTCTTCTTCTTCTTTCAAGACGAAGATAGATCGGGACCGTTCGATAAAAAGCTGACCATTGTGGATTTGAACATCATCTCCGATCAGATTCCGTGTTATATCTCCCAAATCAGGATCGATCGGAGAACAACACGACCAAGCTGTCTTCTCTACGCTACTACGATCGACCAAATCCTTGAGAAACTCTTCAGAGGACAAGCGAGCTTCTCCAAAACCTTTTGATTCCTCTAGAGGTTTCGAGCGTACTCTGGAAATCTCGAGGGCGTGATCGTCGCAGAGGAGATCTCTGTGGGAGGTAGATTCACCGGAGGCGTCGAAGAATCGATCGAGTCTGGAGCAGAAGAGACAAGGACGCTTGAGACCGAAGTAATCAGCGAATCTGAGGATGAAGTAAGAGAAGAGAGAGTTGAGAAGAATGAAGAAGATGAGAGACCACTCGAGGAAAGCGTAGACGAGGACGAGAGTGATTCGGTTGGTTTTCCGGTGGATTAAGGTCGCGAATTTGTTGGCCGCCATGGAAGGAGAAGAAGAAGAAAGAAGAAGACTCAAGAGTAAAAATCAGATTTTTGCAATATTTACAGAGAGAGAGAGAGAATGTGAAAGAGACGAAAGGTGTGTGGGACGTATTGTGGGAGGCAAGAGAAAGACTTGTCAGCTTAAGTAAGTTTAGCCAGAGAGTCGGACCGACCAATTAGACTTTTGTTTTATTTTTTCGTAAAATGGAAAACATCAAAAGAAAGATAAGAGTCAAGAAAGAAAATAGTTTAGGATAGGCACAGGATTTATTATCATATATGACGTTAATATCATATTTATTTGATACTACTATATTAAAGGATTTTTACCAAAATAATCAAGGTCATTAAGTACTAGTATAATGAATTATATATATTTATACTTAGTTTTATCATATACTGAAAACAAAACAAAATTACTAGTAAAAATGTTATTGATTTAAGGTTGACCAAGACGTTAGGTGTTTTTACACCATTTTTGGGATTTAGTCTCTAAAGAATACAAATTTTCTTCGGATTTCGGTTACTGTTAAAAAAAAGAATTATCGTTCATTTGATCGTCCTATCTATTTCAGACATTAAATCTTCATTTGCATTCATAATTTCATTTAATATTTTATAAAAGAGACAATGCAAATATTTTTAACATAATTTTTTTTAAAAATGTTTTAACATAGTTTTTGTTTTTAAAAAAATTAACATATTTTTTACATATAAATGCAAAAAATATTTAAAACACCAAGTATACTAACAATACTTAACAAAAAAAAACTGTCAATACTTTTAAGAGGATAGAGTGGCTTGCGAAAGGAAAAAGAAGGAAAAAGAAATGAGGCGAGTTGATTTTTAATTTGCTGCAGGGACGAGTGAATTTATAATTTTGTAGCGCAAAATTAGCTACTGATTTATGGTTTATGATTTTTATTTTTGTTTTTGTCGCCAAATTACTGATTTATGATTAAAACTTAAAAGTTTAAAAGTTTAAGTTTTTTTTTTTTTGGTCAAATAAAAAAAGTTTAAGTTTAAGTTTAGCTTTACCAAAAAAAAAAACTTAAAAGTTTAAAACATTGCTCGTGACGCAATCATATTGTTGAATTTTATTTTAGATTTATTTAGCTCTCTTTGAAATATAATATAATAAATAAAATATATATCTTTTACAGAGTTTTTGCCACGTGGCCTATTTGACCCCGCCACTCTGCCTTTAGCTTTGGAGATTAAAAAACGAGTGGGCCCATTGCTATGACCCAGATGCGCATAACGGGCCCTACATTTTAAAAAATCTAAAATTTCACATATTCAAAGGATTTGTACTGAAAAACTTTTAAAATTAAGTAAAAACTACATTTATTTAGTTATTGTTTTAAAGTTATACACACAAATTAATAAAATATTAATTCTATTAATTTTTAATATAAAAATATTTTTAATTATCTACTTAAACATAATTCAATTAATAATAAACAAATTATATAATAAAAAATTATAAAAAATAAAAAACTAATAAATTTTGTATTTAAAATTGAAAAATAAAACAAACAAAATTCTCTAAAATAATTAATATAAAACGGAGAAAGTATTTAATTTATACAAAAATTCTTTACTAATTTTTTAAAAAGTAATTTAACTTTTCTGAAAATAGTCTTATTTTCAAATAAGTGCATTTTGTTTTTGTAAAAAGAACATATATACACATTTAAACGACGTAGTTTTTTTTTAAAAAAAATTAAGAGTTTTAAATGATTTATTTTTCAACTAAATAAAGATCACATAAACATTTCAACTATATTAGTAATGTAGAAACGCTTCAAATAAGTTATTTTAATGATTTAATCTGTCCATCAATAATATCGTTATATCAAAACAAGATTAGTTTCTGTAAAAAGAAAAATAACATGAATTGTTGTTACTTTTTATGTATATTTTTTTGTTTGGTTCTTTGAGAGTGAAAGACATTAAAGTTGTGAATGAATAGAATCTAGAATATAACAAAGAAAATTGTATGACTGTTGGAATTTTATTGACATAACAGGAATCTAGAACATAAACTAATTTGTAAAGATAATCGATTTGGGGATTGTGTTTCAATGAGCTTGAATACTATTAATGTTATTTTTTTTACTTCTTTTTTATTTAACCATAACATATATATAAAAAAAGAATTCAAAAGACAAAAGAACAGAAAAATACCATTGAACATTTGAACTTAAGCTTCATGTACTTGGATATAAACATGATTCAAGCTTTCTTCAATCCCACTTCATTTTTCCTTTTTCTCAACCTTGGTTATATGAACTCACAAACTAATGGGTTTTAGGAAAATAGTTAAACAATGAAAAAGCCACTTCCTCTAAAACATCGTTATAAAAAAATGGCGATATAAAATTTTGAAGTAGACAACATTCATAGCAGATAGACAATTACATTTGTAATGTGTGTCAACAATGTAATAGTATAATAGATCTTCTAAATGGAAAGAGCAAATAAAATTAATGGAAAAGAAATATGTGAGAAATTACGAGCAAGGATTTTGAAGTTGTTCTTGTTATTATTCACAGACCTTAAAGTCTAGTATTTATATAATTACATATGTCCATAACAGATAAGACCAAATCTAAGAAATATAGAAATATGCTTATTTACAAAGATACGATGATATTCTTTAAATATGTCCAATACCCCCCCTCAAGTTGGAGCGTATAGGTCACGGATGCCCAACTTGAAATGAAAAATATCGAATTCTTTGCGTCCTAACGGCTTGGTGAGGATGTCTGCTAGTTGTTCCGACGAAGAAATATGAGCAGTTTTAATCGTGCCGTTGAGGATCTCGTCGCGGATATAATGACACTCCATCTCTACATGTTTAGTTCTTTCATGAAAGACAGGGTTTGCACTAAGATGTAGTGCTGACTGATTATCACATTTGAGTGTCATCGGCTCCGTATGAAAAATGCCAAAGTCATGAAGCAAAGCTTTGATCCATTTGAGTTCGCGAAGGACCTCCATCATTGCGCGGTATTCGGCTTCCGTAGAAGAAAGAGAGACCACGTCCTGCCGCCTAGTCTTCCAAGAGATGATGGAGGAACCAACCTGAACAATCCAACCAGTTAAAGAGCGACGCCTCACCGGGCATCCCGCCCAATCAGAATCACACCATCCAGTAACGTGGAAAGAAGAGTCTTTCCGCAATATGATACCCTGACCCAAAGTGCCCTTCAAGTAGCAGACCACATGTAAGGCAGCGTCCCAATGCTCGATACGCGGAGCCTGCATAAACTGTGTGAGCACATGGATCGAGTAAGAGAGATCAGGTCGAGTCGCTGACAAATAGACCATACGTCCCACTAGACGTCGATATCGTTCGGGATCAGAGAGCAATGGTCCAGACGCTAAACCGAGACGATGCTTCTGATCGATCGGAAAACCTGCTGGTTTACAACCAAGCATGCCAGCTTCAGTCACAATATCGGTGCAGTACTTTCGCTGACATAGATAAAATCCATCTTGATTTCGTGCCACTTCGAGGCCCAAGAAATATTTGAGAAAACCAAGATCCTTCATGTGAAAACAGGTCGAAAGATAAGACTTGAATGCTCCAATGAAAGTCGATGAATTACCTGAAATAATAAGGTCATCAAAGTAAACCAGAACGCGAAGTGTATTTCCATCCTTGGAATAAGCAAAGTAAGAGTAATCTGTTCGCGCCAGCGTAAAACCAAATGCACGAAGTGCCATTGCTAGTTTCCTAAACCAGCAACGAGGTGCCTGTTTAAGGCCATACAAAGACTTCCGGAGACGACAAACTCTTTTGTTGGAATCAGATTGAAGGCCAGGAGGAAGTTTCATATAAACTTCTTCGTCAAGATCACCATGTAAAAATGCATTGTGGACGTCCATTTGATGCACTTCATGGTCGAGTTTCGTAGCAACATCTAGAAAAATTCGAACTGTGGTCATATTGGCAACTGGAGCAAAGGTTTCAGTGTAATCAACGCCTTCAATTTGATTGTTGCCAAGTACGACCAATCTTGCTTTATATCGCTCGAGTGTACCTTCAGATCGAAGTTTGATACAGAAAACCCATTTACAACCGAGAGCAATCTTGCCTGGAGGTAAATCTTCGAGATCCCATGTTCGATTCGCTTCTAACGCAGAGAGTTCAGAGTTTACTGCATCATCCCACACTTTCTCTTTAATAGCTTCTTCGTAGGATCGTGGCTCAACCGCAAGAGTAAGTGCCACCATATAACTGCGATGTGAGTCAGAAAAACGAGCACAGGTATGATAACCTGAGATGGGATAGACCGTACCTGAGGACTGTGGAGCAGGCGACGTGAGGGGTTGTGTGAGTGAGACTGTATTGACGACAAAATCTGTAAGTCGAGTGGATGGTCGTTTTTTGCGACAACCACGCCCTAACTGTTCAACTACAACCGGTTCTGTGTCAGGCAACCCATCGGAAGAATCAGAGTCATGGGTAGATGAAGCAACATCGTCTGTGGGAGCATCGTTGGTGGCAACGTCATCCGTGGTGGGAACATCATCGATAGTGGGAACAGTTTCTTGTGTCCCAACATCGACATCACCATCATTTGGAGAGGAGTCTTCTTCTTCAGCAAATGCGGTTGGTGGTGTAACGGTCAGAGGATCAATGTCAGTCGTCGGTGGTGGTGATTTCAAGAAAGGAAATTCATCTTCTTGGAAAATAACATCGCGCGAGGTAAAGAAAACTTCTTTCTCAAGATCGTAAAGTCGCCATCCTTTCTTTCCATAGGGGTAACCAAGGAAGACACAACGTCGACTTCGAGAAGCAAATTTATCACCGTGATGATTCAAATTATGCGCATAACAGAGACAGCCAAACACACGGAAATGTTCAAACGCCGGTGGTCGGTCATAGAGCAACTCAAAGGGTGTTTTATCGCAGAGAAGCTTTGAAGGTGTGCGGTTGATCAAATAACAAGCTGTGAGGGCGCATTCAGCCCAAAATTCAATCGGTAATCCAGCTTGAAATCGCAATGCTCGCGCCACATTCAGAATGTGACGATGTTTCCTTTCCACTCTTCCATTTTGCTGAGGAGTACCGACGCATGATGTCTCATGTATAAT